TTCCTTTCTAAATAATGTTCCCTTCCCTGGATTTTCTTTCCCTTTTCCATTTCTGTATCTCTGGTTGTTCAAACATATACAGGAATATGGATTTTACTAAGTCCTTTAATTATAAAAACATTGTAAAATTAAAACATTATAATTATACAGCAACATTATTAATATGAAAAGATATGGCTTTAATTAAGAAATTATTTTTGTCAAAGAAATTTGTTTTTCCATGAGGCAAAATTTAATACCTAGTATGATTTAATCAACTGGCAATTCCTTTTGCAAAATATCCTTTTAATGAGTAATTTCTTAAATCTATTTGAAAGCATCTTCACACTAGATCAGAGGTAATATAATAAAAGCTATTCACATTCTCATTGGAATGTTACTTTTTAATATAGTAACTATGGGATCTCAGAAGATGTACAGCAGAGCCTCCATATGGCACAGAAAAAAGACAAGAAACTAACTAGTTGGCACTCGCCTAGTTATGGACTGAATGTTGGTGCCCCCACCATTAATATGCAGAAACCTCATCCTCGTTGTGATGATACTTGGAGGTGGGGTCATTGGGAGATAATTAGGTCATGAAGGTAGAGTCATACCCTCATGATAGGATTTGTGTCCTTATAAGCAGAGACATGAGAGAGATGATTTCTCTCTCCCCCATTTGAGGGTAGGGCAAGAAGGCAGTCAGCTGCAAATAAGGAAGGGAGTTCTCATCAAGAACTGGGCCACGCTGGCACCCAGATATCAAATTTCCAGCCACCAGAACTGGGAGACAGAAATACAGTGTTGTTTAAGTCATCCAGTTTATGGCATTTTTGTATAGCAGTCCAAATGAAGACCTGTCTTTCGATACTTTAAAAACAACAACGTCTTCTTGGACATCAGTATGCTAAATCTCTAACAGCCACTAAATCGTATTTTTGTCAGTTGTCCTTGAGAAAGTATATTCTGGCCTTATGAAGAAGCAAAAGACTAGAAAAGAAAACAAATTTCTTAAAGGAGCAGAAAAGCTCTTTGCATCTTAGTTGTCTTCCCACTAACTAACAAGCCAAATTCTTTTAAGAACAAAGAGTTGAAGGTTTACCTTTCTTTCTTAATCATTGCCAAATGCATGACATTTCTCAAGCATTTTCTTCACAGAAGATATTCTCTTGCCAGATAATTCTGCAAGACATGCCAGAAGAGAAACATCTGCTTTCCACATTTAGGACCTCTTCAGCTGGTTTTGCAACAGAAACCTCAATCTAAGGTCAAATCATTGTAATAACACAGTCTCCAGCACAGTTGATGTGGTTGCAATGTGAAATGAATTGGGAGAAAACAGAAGTGAACCAGTGTGGCCTCAAATAAAATGTCAAATTTCCACAAGTAAAATCCTACTAAAAAAAAAACTAGGAACAATTTGAGTAGCTGAAAATAATCTGCAAACATTCTGCTTTGCTCTTCTACAACTGACAAGGTCTATGGAAAGCATGATTTCTGCCCGGCATGACAACAAAGAAAGCCATTTCCAATTCAGTCTGTAAGGAAAAAGGAAATAAACAACTTCAGCAAATATTTATCGGGTACCACATTAGTTTGTGAGGGCTGCCAAACAGAATACCACAGACCGGATGGCTTAAACAACAGAAATTTATTTTCTCACAGTCCCGGAGGCTGGAAGTCTGAGATCTAGGTTTTGGCAGGGTTGGTTTCTGAGATCCCTCTCTTTGGCTTGTAGATGGCAGTCTTCTTTCTATGTTTTCCCATGGTCTTCCTTCTGTGTATGTCTGTCCTAATCTCTGATTATAAGGACACAACTCATACTGGATTAGTGCCCACTCTACTAGCCTCATTTTAACTTAATTATTTATGTAAAGACCCTATCTCCAAACTTGGTCATATTCTGAGGTACTGGGGGGTTAACGAACTCAACACATGAATTTGGGGGACAAAATTCAGCCTATAACAAATACATATACAGTGTCAGGCACTGTATGCAAACCAATTAGCATTGAAAAATCAAAGGAAGTTCTTAACTGTTTCATTTTTTTCTACAGAAACACAAATCTGAAAAGAAATGAAGAACCATCTTTGCCTTAGGATGTGGCAAATGGAGCTTTGGAACTGATGCATATTCAAAAGAAGGATCTCCTGCCCTAGCAACACAACAAGACCCCATTTCTACAAAATAGAAAAAAAAGAGCCAGGTGTGGTGGTGAGTGCCTATAGTCCCAGTTACTCGGGAGGCTGAGATGGGAGGACAGCTTGAGCCTAGGAGATCAAGGCTGCGGTGATCCATGATTGTGCCACTACACCCCAGCCTGGGCGACAGTGTGAGACCTTGTCTCAAAAAAAGAGAAGGTGCTCTTTGCCTGTTGTGAAAGAGACCTTCCATAGATAGCTTATCCAATGAACACTGGTACTCATGCACATGTGTGTGTACTGGCATCTCCAGGTTGGTTAACATGGTACCTGCCTCGTGACCAGTTCACTACTTAGTGATGTGGTCACATTTCTGTTGGTTCTTCTTTCAGACACAGCCCCAGGGCCTCATTCTGGCAGCCAAAGTCAGGTCCCTGGTTTGCCGCCTCCAACAGTCCCACTCTGTGAGATCCTGGTTAATTTGGTTTGTACTTAAAAAAAAAAAAAACCTACAAAAAAACTACAAAAAAAGTGCCAAGAATGTCTCCCTTATTTATGAAATGCAATATACTTTCTTAGTGAAAAATGGGTTCTCTTCTAACTTGCTATTCAGAAGGGACATAATGGTTTTGCATACTCATAGCTTCTCTTTCTAATCTTTCTGGAAATCTAAGATGCTAAATGTTCTTGGCTCTCAACTGAGTCCTTTCTATCTTTAGGCACCATTCAATGTCCCCAGCTTTTTCATTGGACAACTCTCATTTTATATCCTCTTAGTGTATTACTATAATTTTTAATTCTATACAGAGGATCTCACTCATTCCTCAACTATCCATTGTCCCAACAATTATTTTTACTTGAATAAAGTATATAATATTTTCCTTTGATCAAGTATATCAGAATATCATGGTGTGTTTAAGTGTTAAGACACTGAGGACAGCACCACTCAGGAAAAAGTGAGGTGTCTATGGAGCTAGCCTTGCAGAGTTAATCTGCTCTTAACTAGTGGTGGCCATAGACTAAAGTGTCCATGCACAAGGTAAGCCAAGTTCTACTTCTGAAGTCTGAGACCTAAGCTCTCCATAGCTAGAAGATGCCATGAAACAGAAACAAGCCATTCACCTGCCCATAGTAGGTGATTCTGTATAAATGAGAACAGTAACAGAATTCAGGTGACATGGTACCAGATTTGAGGACTAGACAAGCAGGGAGGGATGTTGTATTAGTCCATTCTCATGCTACTATAAAGAACTGACCAAGGCTGAGTAATTTCTAAAGGAAAGAGGTTTAATTGACTCACAGTTCTGCATTGCTGGGGAGGCCTCAAGAAACTTGCCATCATTGCAGAAAGGGAAGCAAAACACGTCCTTCTTCACATAATGGCAGGAAGAAGTGCTGAGCAAAAGGGAAAAAGCCCCTTATGAAACCATCAGATATCCTGAGAACTCTCTCACTATCATGAGAACAGCATGGAAGTAACCACCCCAATAATTCAATTACCTCCCACCAGGTCCCTCCTACTACGATTTAAGATGAGATTTGGGTTGGGACATAGCCAAACCATATCAGATGTTAACCCATCCAAGCACAGTGTACAGGAAATACCACTCTTTGGAATGTGGAAATCATTGAACTAAGCAGTGGAAGCTAGTACATGGAAACATGAGTCGTTTAGGCAACTCAGATACAATGTCATGAGGAAAGCAAAGGAAGGGATAGCTGAGGCTGGCACAGAAGACAGTGGGAAGACAGAAGGTTACATAGTTAGTTTGGCCCTGTTGAAAAGTCATGGAGATCCAGGAAGAGGTGGCTGGAGAAGGAAACTCAAGCGCTGAAAAGAAAAAAGAAGAAAGCTGGACTAGAGTAAGGTAAGGCCCTAAAGGATGAGAAGGGAGATTAAGAAGTGATCACAAGTTTCTTGATCAAGGAAAGGGTTGTCAGCCCAGGATTTCCCAACATGCCTGGGAGCAATGTCTTCCAAGATAAAGATGTCACCTGCAAAACTAGTCTTCAGTGTCCTGAAGGACCTATTCTCAAAGAACTCAACAATATCACTTCCATTCTGCCCTCTGTGTATCTGCAGCTAAAATTTCTCCACATTGTTTCCATCCTCAGGTTTTTCCCACCAATTCAGCTTGCTAACAGAGTACCCAAGTTTCTCATTCCTTCTATTTAATCTGTCTCTTTTTATCCAGGTAAATGCTTGTACTATATAGGTAATAGCCACAAATGCCATTTCACACCTTACTAAAACATTACATTTATGTCACCCTATTCAGTTTCAAACTTATTTGATTCTCTTTCTCTGGGGACTAATTTATATAGAGATACCTTTAATGACAAAACTTTCCAAACTATTTTCTGATTCAATCTTTTCGACTAAGAATTACCAGTTATTTCTTATGTCTCATTTCTTCTTCCTATCACCTCTGTCCATGTTCACAGTAACAGGCTTTGTACTTTTATCTGAGCCCTTTTTAAAAAATTCCTCTCTCAAGTTTCTCTACTTTTAGTCTTCTAAATCAAGTTAATGAATTGTCTGCTATCTCAGGCCCTCTGACACCTGATCCCCTGAGTAGAAGCCTGTTGTTCTTGTATCTTACACAATGATTCACTGCAGAGATCTCTCTCTGAGCCTGGGATTTCATGACACTGAAAACATAGAACGAGCTTTATAAATGGCAGCCATATTTCATCTACACACGGAAGCTGCTCACCTACCTCAGGGGAAGGTTTCAGAAACAGATGGTCTGCTTTGGGGACTACATACACTCAGAATTTCTTATTTGGAATTACATTTTACATGAATAAAAAATACAGTAAATCATCTAAAGCTCTAAAAGTGTATGCAGAGACCTCTATAAATACCAGACATGTTGTTTGCAGCACAATTTATTATCTGGTCATAGTATTTGGGCACATTATTAGGTACAGATTTAACACCATGTAACCTCTCTTGACACAGAGCAACCCAAAAAGAAAACTTCAAAATGTGCAACAGCAATAAATATCAAGCTTTCTGATCTAAAATGTATAAATATAAAATATCAGTCATTTCTGGAAACATCTTAAGAAAATCCGGCAACCACATGTCCGTGAGTAGGTGTCTGATGTTGATGGTGCTTACATTCAGAACATATCACCTCAGATCCAACACAATTATTTTTATGTCTTTTACCAACACATGTTTGCATATCTAGGAAAGAAAAAATTGGTTTTACTATATGTTTGATTTTAGCATAATGTTTACCATATGATTTTCTTTAGGGAGGGAGTACAGATTTCCTAATTTTAAATTGTTCCTGATTTTTAAAATATTTCCAATCAGAACAAATACAATCACATTTATTAATTTCAACAAAAACAAAAATATTTACAGGGGTTGCCAAATAATTTTCATTTTAAGTAAATGCTAATTTCAATATAATGTTCTCTGATGTTACAGCCACAGAACCGCCAAAAAATTAGGGGAAAAAAAAGGCGTAGTCAAATGTTTCTTTTGGACTATGCAAAAGTAATCAAGAAGTATGATCGTAGTTTTCATACAATTGCTATGAAAAAACTAATTTGGCCATATCAAGCAGAAAGAATTCATGCAACATTTTAAATGCCATTTTCTATGATAATTGTTTACTTATTTGGACTCTGAAGAAAACTTTTAAATATCATACATATATATAAGTGGAAAGGTAACTTTGTGCACCATTAATTCTGCTATAGAAATATTGATGTTTCCTTGTAAATACAATTATTTTGAGAATAAATCAGAAATTAAGTATGCCGATAGATTAATTTTCTGAGATAAAACTCCAAACTAAGCAGTACAGTATTTTATCTTATATTAGACTGCTACTATTTATTTAAAAACAGGTTGCGGGGGCAGTGAATAAGAAATACCTGGAAAAATAACTAATATGATGTACTCACACTGAACAGCCTGGGCTCCTTGGTGTGTGGATGAAAGCCCTTTTTTTTACAAGCAGAAACCTCAAGCATGCCAGCATTGGTGAGCCTGAAGATGCCAGTGCTAAATTTCAGAGTGAAAACAGGTAGAAAAATTAACGATCATTTGGGCATTCCAGATGCTTTATTTGAACAGCACACACATACATATTCCTCAAATGGGATTGAGAACTCACAAACTAGGAATTCCATAGGGATTTTTTTTTTTTTTAACCAATGACTGGCCCAGAGGAGAGAAACCCAGGAGGAGGCAATGCTGCTGCTAGGAGCCTGCAGGATCGTTAAGGGGACAAGGCAAATAAGCTATTGTGTGTGACCTCACAGGAAAGGCCAAGGCCCCACCAGAGAGTCCCACGAGAGGAAATTACAAGTGGCAGATATTTCGAATTCTTCTAATAATGTTAATACAGATTATAGCAATAGCAAATAGGTATTGAGTGCCTGCTGTGGTACCAGGCACTATGCTAAGCACTGTACATAGGCTATTATCTAATTTCATCTTTACATCCATCCCTGATGGGCAGGTATGAGGGATGAAGAGGCAGAGGCCTACAGTGGTCAAGTATCCTGCCTAACACAACACTTGAGGGGTGAAGCCATGATTTCCATGTTTGTTTGATTCCCATGCTCATAACTACTCTACAATAATCAGTGTCCCCAAAGCTAGAACGGTTTTTTCTCAGCTAAGGCTAGAACATTTCTTATGGTAGAACATAATACAGTAGAAATGAGTCCTAAAAAGGATAACTGGGATAGCATCCTTCTTAAATGTTATTCACTTCAAAGTCACGCTAACTGAAGAAAGAAAATCAGTAATTCTGCCACAGAATGGACCTTAAACTGCAGAGCTACAGGTCGATGGCAGCTGACTGCCACCCATCTCTTTTTCCCAAGGGTGTTGTGTGCTTGTCAATCCAAGTACCACAACCTGGTGTCTGGACACACAGGAACCCAGCAGCCCTAGACAAAGCCTTCTTTGGGCTCCCCTGAAGAGTCACACTTACTCTTTATGCTTTGGTGAGCAAACAATGGCAATGGCCTCTGGTAACATGAGTTGATAGGAACAGTGAGTGTGAAGATCAACGCTGGATAAGAATGCAGTTTGAGTGGGATGCGTCTATAAACACAAAAGAAGACAATCTTACTAGGATAGCTGTCTTAGGCAAGGCCACAGCTTATTTTAATAGAAAATTCTGTTTTATAAAAAAATATTTTTAACCATCAATCAAATAAGGGATTTTTAAAAAGGTTTTGCTGACATAATCCTTCCCTTTATGCATTCCTATTATTTGCTATTTTGGAATAACTATGACTTTGAGAAGAGGCTCCTAGAAGTGTTGGTGTCCTTTCTTCTTTTGGGGAAAGAGCGAGCTGGAAATTAATTTGCTAGGGGCTTTAAATAGATTCTCATATAATTATCACAACTCATTTATGAGATACTTATTTTATTATCTGAATTTTACATACAAGGATCCCAAAACTAAGGGAGGTTACATAATGCGCCTGTGGTCACACAGCTGGTAAGGAGCAGAGCTGTGATTGGAAACCCTGGACACAAGATATGTATATACAACATTAGGAACATTAAAAGGAAGTTTTCACTAAATAGACCACATGTTGCTGTGTATCGTTTTGTGGATTGCCATTTCCTATAAATGGGAGAATGGGAGACTCCAAGTTGTTAAAGGTATTTGGGACTAATCTTGCATAGCAACTAAATATATGGGGAGGAAAAAAGGGGGATTATAAATTAAAAGAAATCTGCCAAGTTTCTGGCTACATGCAAATGTGTTTATGCATGGTCAATCAGAGGTTCATATTTGAATATAAAAAATAAATGCACATCTAGTTATTTTAAAAATTCATATTAAACCCTAATTACTCTTGAAAAAAAGAATGTGACTATTTTAATCATGAAACAAAGATTCTTGGCACCACTGTCTAGGTCCTGACTCCATTACTCGCTAGCCATATGACACTGTGAAGATTACTTAGCCTTCTCTTGCCCATTTCATCATCTGTAAAATTGGGATAATATTTTCTGCATGGGATTGTTATGAAGATGAAATATGACAGTCCATTAAAATTCTTGGAACAGTGCTTAGCACATAGAAATAAAAGTCATTGGCTGTTGTTATTCTAACGTCTTTATTAACTAAAAGGCACAGATCCATAGTAGTAGCTAAATGTCTTTACACAAAACTATATTCTATTAAAGAAATGTAAGATTTTAAAACAATTTTTAGGCCAGGCATAGTGGCTCATGCCTGTAATCCCCACTTTGAGTGGCCAAGGTGAGAGGATCAGTTGAGCCCAAGGGTTCAAGACCAGCCTGGACACTATAGGTAGACTCCATCTCTACCAAAAAAAACCCAAAAAGTTGTTTTAATTAGCTAGACATGGTGGCATGTGCCTGTAGTCTCAACTACTTGAGGGGGCTGAGGTGAGAGGAGCACTTGAGCCAGGGAGGTTGAGGCTACAGTGAGCTGTGATCACTCTACTGCACTCCAGCCTGGACAACAGAGCAAGACTCTGTCTTGGAAAAAAAAAAAAAAAAGCACGAAAAAGTTTTTTTCTGCTTTAATAGAATGAAGGCAAAATCAGATGATTATTTACAGAAAGCTACATGTTCTGCAAGGAAAAAATAACACTTGGCCTATAAAAACTTAGATCGACAAAGGAATGGCAATTATCCTAACTTTTAAAATGCAAATCTTCAGTAGGGGGTACGAGTGGGAGTATCTGACAGCCTGTTATCTTACAAGGAACACCTTCTCTTTGTAAAATAGAGGCTTCTATGTCTTTGTGAGAAATTAAAAATTGTTCAAAGAAACTATAGTGCTGTGGAGGCGGCAAGCAGGTTATCATACAGACAAATCACTCTGCTTGTCAATTTATTTCCACACGGAATGCACACCACATGACCTGAGTCCTTCATTTCTGCCAAAAGGAATTATGTCTATTCCAATGAGAACAGTTTTCCCATGGGAGAATGAGGCTCCCATTCCCTCACTCTACGGAAATGAAAATGATGATGACAATGATAACAATGGCAGCAGATGCCATTTATTGCAACTGTATAATGTGAACTAATCACTTTCCATGAGTCATATCATTGAATTCTCACAGCAACAAGTGCTATTATTATCTCCATTTTGCAGGTGAGGAAACTGAGGTAAGCAAGAAAGTGAGTAACTTGTGGATGCTCATAAAGCTAGTTAAACCAAAAAGTCCAAATTCAAATACATGTCTGTCTGATTATATTTCAGACCTTTTTTCCCGATGACTAATTTGTATTTGAAAAAAGCCAGCTCTGGAATTTGTTGCTATTATTACACTTGATAAAAAACATCATAAAAAGTCATTACAATCACTGAGGTTTAGAAATGTAACATTTTTGTATTTTCATCCAACCACAATAATTTGATATGGTGAAATGAGTTTAACAAAAAGTCCTAGAATTCAAGAATTATGCTAAACTTATTAAACAACTCACTTTCATAATTGCATGCATTATGTTCACAGTACCTCATAAGGGGAAAATTTTTGTTTCTAATTTGGAAAATGTTTTGTTAGCTAAGCTAACATTGACTTGTCAATGTAAATGCATAATTTAATGGACTGTCATTCTTGCTAGAATTTGTTTTGCTTTAAAATGCATTCTTGTTACAGAAATCATGTTAAGCTAAATAAGGCATTCTTTTTACAGAAATCATGTTAAGCTAAATAATATAGCAATTTCCAGGCAAACTGTAATGCATATTACTTACTGTAGAGTTTTACAAACTCTTCATTATAAATAATTTCTTGCATTTGAGAGGCAGTTTATACTTTTCAAAGAGTTTTCACACCTGGTATCTTGTTTCCTGTTCACAGAAATCCAGTGAGGAGAGAAGGCATTCATGAGCCTCACTCAGCCAATGAGGGAATCTGGAAACTAGGCAAGAAGTCCTGACTGATAGAACATAATAATTTACAGGTGGAGTTGGGACTAAAGTCTCCTGTACCCTCCAGAACTGCATAATACCAAATGCTTAGGAAGTGTGTGTGTGTGTGTGGATGCTGCCCCTCCCCAGTGCTTCTCTATAAAGCAAGTAAAAATGATCATGTATCATTCCTCAAGGGCACTTGGAGGTCCCCAGAATGTGTCCTGGAAATTTTCTTGGCCAGTATCCCATCTTAGAGGGATGGCTTATCCCAGCCTGCTATGGTTTGAATGGTGGGGTCTCCACCACTATTCATGATGAAACTTAATCCTCAATGCAACAGTATTAAGAAGTGTGGTCTTTGGGAGGTGAGTATTCACAAAGGCTCCACTCTAATGAATGGTATTAAGACCCTTGTGAAAGGGCTTAAGGTTGAAGGGAGTGCTCTCTTGCCCTTCTGCCTTCCACCCTGTGAGGACACAGCAACAAGGTGCCATTGGTGTCTAGTGAAGGCTTCTTGTGGAAGCTGAGAGCAGCCCTCACTAGACACCAATGCTGGTGCCTTGATCTTAGACTTCCCAGCCTCTAGGACCAGACAAAACAAATTTCTGTTCTTTTTAAATCACCCTATATCAGGCATTTTGTTATAGCAGCAAAAACACACCAAGATGTTATCCCAGATCCAGCTTATGTGAGACTGAATGGAAAAAATTTCCCTCAGCTGGATTGCACTATGGCTAGAAAGGATAGATTATTATCACCAATTATAACAGGTACAATTTTCTGAGTCCCTCAAAAAATGTGCTGTGAAATTCACCAATAGTATCTCATTTAATATGAAATATCCTGTGAAGTATTATGATCTCCATTTTATGGATGATAAAACTGATGCTCAGATTGCTTAATAACTTGCCAATGCCCCTACAGTAAATTCTTAGCACAGCCAAGATTTAACCTCATGTCTATTTGACTTGCTCCTATGATGGCCTGGTGGATGTTGGAATTCAATGTTTTGGGCCCTATCCTCTTGCCTTACTCTGTGGCTGTTTATACAGTAATGCATACATCGTTTGCCTATCTGAGGGGTGTCAGGGAGTGTAGCTGATATATACAAACACATTTAAAAGAAACATTTTCAGATATTTTCTTAAAATAATCTAATTTAGACCCACATTAATAGTTGTGTAGCCAAATCAGTTAACAATTTGGCTAAGCCTTCACTAGGCTATGTAAAATCATCTAAAACAAATCACCTGATTTCCAAATGTTACTCTCTTTCTTCCTACTTCTTTTAACTTTAGATGATACGAAAAAGCAAAAGATACACGTTCTCCAAATCCAGATTTGACAGATTTAGACACAATCTAACACTGAAAAACATGCCATAATATGATGAACTTTATTTTTTTAAATATCTGTTATTCTTTTCTTTTTGCTTGAGAACCACTACTTAAATGATGACCTTTATTACATTTGAAAAATTTAAAAAGAAGAAGCTATTTAAATGAAGCTAAACTTTTTCAAGGAGGAAAATAGCATGCCACACAAAAATAAACTGAAACCCAAAAGGTCAAACGTACATGAATCCATCCTAGAGTGAGGAGATCGTGTTGATCCTGCACATTGAATAATTCCTCTACATTCTCCACGTCACAATAGTCTGGTCCCGCAGACTGCTTTGGCACAATTACATGAGTAATAGTAAATTCATTATGTGTCTAAAAAACAAGTAGCAGAAAGAATTACATGCATCTGACACACACACACACACACACACACACACACACAAAAACAACGGAACAGGAAGTGCAATGTTTAAGACTAAAGAGTCCGCCAATAGGGGTGTGTGTCTAGGTACAGGGACCACTTAAATTATCCCTCCCTGTACCGAGACACACAACCGTTCCCAATTCAAAAACAAGTCCCAACAGTAAAAATGGATTCTTTGCCAAAAGTTTGAGACTCAGTTGTTTGTAGCTTGAAACCCACTTTCACAATAGAAAACATAACATAAATAGGAATTTGCATGCCAGGCTTCTGTGGAAGTTTAGTTAATAAATGATGTCTTGATATAGCTGTAATGGAAAAACTGAACAAAACAAGGACAGATTTGTTTGGAGGGGGAGATACTAGTTAAATAATTTTGTGGTGTTACCAAAAGGCATTTCTTAGGGTTGTGAAGGTTGATGGTTTTGTTTTTATATTACTAATTATATTGAATGTCACTTCAAGATTTACGACATTCTTCGAATGTTGCGAGGACTCACTAGGATCTTCTGTAATTAAGATAATGTTTTGGATTTGCAATCAGATAAAGAGAAAGGAAAAAACAAATTATTCCTCTTAGGCAAAAGGTAAGAGTTGAGAGGAAGAGGGTTGTGAAGTGCCATGGGATCCTGAAGGAAGAGATGTTTGTGCAGTGAGAGGCTGTCTTTCCCCAGGCAGGCTGGCCTTTCTCTGTCCAGAGGACCATCCTCTCTCTAGCCTTAGGGCTTTCCTGCACACTATGCACTGCTCCTTCACCCTGATTTCAACTCTTCCCTCCATCCAACCTCAAGGTTAGATTTACCAGTTACACACTCCCATGATTCCCTGCACTTGCACAGACAGCACTCAGCCCCACTTATCATTAGTCATCTGTCTGGGTCTTCACAGCATCATAAGTATCGTGAGTCAGGCTGTTGCTGGACACCCACTGCTAATACCCAGCACACTGCCTGGCACATTTAGATATTCGGTAAATGTTTGTCTGACAACGGAGTGAATGAATCACAAATGAATCAATAAATCAATCTGAATACAACACAGGATGTGCGGGTGGATGTTTCAATAGCACACTGTCTCCTTAAGTGCAACAGAGGTGACTGTAGATGCCCATTCTCCTGTGCTTGCCACCAATGGCTTCCTCTATCTTGGAGGGAAAGAGATGACAGAATACTGGAATGCAGGAGGAGATTGCGTATTGAATACAATGCAGTATTATTCAATAAAGCAGAGGTTCCTAAGCTAAATTTTGAGGACTGAAAATATACCTGGACCCAGATATATAAACTAGCACTCAAAGCAGACTATGAAAGGACATGCCCAAAGAAACATTATTTATCTTTGTTGTAGATAGGAAATTGAATGCATCTCCTTTCTTTCATCTCCTTCTATTATGACATTGTCTTTCATCACATATTTATGATATCTTCCATAATTAAATATGTCCTGTGCCTATAGGCTTTTGTTGAAACTACTGCCTTAAACTAAAGGAAACAACAAAATCCTAGTTTTATTCCATGTGTTTCTCAAAAAGGACAGCAAGATAATACATGCCACAGATTAAGTTAATTATACAAATGTATGTGAAGCTAACAATTGCAATGAAAATTTGATTTGGCAACCAGATAGATTTGGAAATCTGAAGACCTATATTTCATACCATTTTTCTAATCAAAGATTTGATTTATAGGTTGATCTTTAGGACAAGTTTTTATAGAGTCTCTGAAATTTTACAATCTATTTTCTAGAAGGATCATTCCATTAATAATGACAGTAGTTTTATAAAGTTAATTTGCGTAATGTTAATTTCATAATACTTATAACTCTTAGCATGCTTTTATTCTGTTCCACTTATCGGAAGAAATCTAGTACTATTAAAAGTATCCTATGCAGATACATATATAAAAATATAAGGATCATACCAGTTTTCCACAGAGTATTCCACAGGTTTCTATTCCTCTCACTGTATTAGATTCTGCCAGCTGCAGAAATTTGTGGCAAAGATCTTTTGGCAAAACTGCACATCGCAGTCCTTCAACCACTAAATCTAAGAAACAAAAAAGGGAGAAAAGGCTAAAAAAACAAACTGTATGTCCCATCTTTCAAAATTGCTATTGGCAAGCAGTCGCAGTTGGACATAAATTTCAAAAATAAAAGTATCAGGTGTTCCACTTTCCATATTTTATTTTAAAACTCTTAGAAGTAAACATTAACTAGAAGTAAAATTAAATTATGTATATAAATTATTTTATAAGCAAAGTGAGGAGGTACCAGCACTTTTACATGTTTGTACCTTGGGTCAACTACTTACATGTTATTTTATCTTTTGGCATGAAGTAAATATAGGGTTAAATGCATAGGCTGCGTAGAATGCATCTCATACCCCATAAGACATATGATAAATATTGTGTTTACCATGTTACTTATATCTTTATGAAAGTTGGTGATCAGCAAGTCAAAGCACAATGTTTTGGTAAACAATTAGCAGTAAAGTAACTTTAAGAATGGTCGCCTATTATCACTCATTTCAAATAAATGGGAACACAAATTCCATCTGACAGTGTCTGTGAAGAAGAATTCTGTATTTTGGAAACCTGCCAGCACCGATCTGGCAGTACGGAGCAGCACTAATTCTTGCAGAAACACACAGGCCATTTGGAGGTTAATTATCTATGTGTATGAGATTCTCTCAGTCCAAGGATGATGCTAAGCATACCGAGTATAAACATTTATTGCTGAGCAAAGGTCTGGATAAACAATTTTCTCAACACCTTTTCTCTCCAGAAAGATGGATGTATTTAAGATGTATGTATTTCTTAGTTAAAATACATAGAAGACAAAAGGACTTGAAATTCTTCTCATTTAAAATCTCTGTTCAATGACAAAATACTTCCCATTTATGACAGAGTCTCTGCTCTATCGGGGGCATCATATTTCCTGAATTTTAAGGTTATATATAGTAAAAGCCAGAGAGTATTGAAAGGTTAGTTCTGTCATGCATACCATATTATGCAGGGGTCCTACTACAATTAGTAATGAAATGAGGAGGACCCTCCCAGATGCTATAGAAATATGGTTCCATCCGATGAGCCTCAGTGTCTCACGGGGGTGCATTTCATCACTTACTCTGAACAGCACTTAGAGTAGCAGCTGGCGTTAAGGCCCTGTTTACAGGAGGAGAGTGGCTAGCATAATTGGTTGCATCACTTTTATTAGGTTGATCTGCAAATACATTCAGCAAGGAATTGTTCTGCTGTGTGGAAAAGCAGGACAAAGCGCTCCCATCAATCTGCTCCGACAGCCCCGAGGTTTGCTGACTTCGCATCTGACCTCGGGCTAACTCTTGCTTCTTGAGTTGATCTTCGAAAAACAGAAACTGCTCCGATTCTAGCTGCTGCTGGCGCATCTGAGCAATCCGCTTCCTTTCTGCCTCTATCAATCTCTGATGCTCCAGTTTTTTGAGAATTTCAGCTTTATATTTGTTCTATAAAGTGTGGCAGCCAGAAGAGAAGGTTAGTGTCCAAGGAAAAACATTGAACTGGAATTAGACATTTTCAGTCTTCAAGCAGACAGAGAAAAGGCTAGATACTGTGATATACCCACAGGGACACTCAGGGAACAGTGAGAGAAATACATAACATCAGGGCAAAAGCCCCTTGATCTGATTAATGCAGCAGTTCTAAATCCACTGATATTTTACCAGAGACAGGCCATGACAATCAGGATCCCTCCATTCCCTTATGCTTGTAAATACTGGAAAATCAACGTTAAGGTTGTTTGCTCAGTCAGACCGACAAGACCATATGAAACAAAATACCTCACCCCTACTGCACTTTCAATATAGTGACCACTGGCCACATGTGATTATTTGAACCTGATTAAAATTAAACAAAATTAGAAATTCAGCATCTCAGGCACACTAGTCACATTTAAGTACCCAGTAGCCACATGTGGCTAGTGGGTACCATATTGGAAAGTGTCAAACAGAACATTTCCATCATCACAGGGAGTTCTATTGAACAGTGCTGCCCTAGAACCTTTTGCATTTGACTCTAGAACTCATACTCTGCTGGAAATTTATGGATAAGAAGGAATCACTAAAAAGAATGGTTATTAAGGCCAGGCGTGGTGGCTCACGCTTGTAATCCCAGCACTTTGGGAGGCCGAGGCGGGCGGATCACAAGGTCAGGAGATGGAGACCACGGTGAAACCCCGTCTCTACTAAAAATACAAAAAATTAGCTGGGCGCGGTGGCAGGCGCCTGTAGTCCCAGCTACTCAGGAGGCTGAGGCAGGAGAATGGCATGATCCCGGGAGATGGAGCTTGCAGTGAGCCGAGATGGCGCCACTGCACTCCAGCCAGGGGGACAGAGCGAGGCTCCATCTCAAAAAAAAAAAAAAAAGGTTATTAAAATGTGTTCCAACCTTCTCTGTCACCACTAACGAAGAGTTTTGCTAAAAATGAGGAGTCCCAAGCTCTCCAGTCCTAACAAAATATTCAGGCTTATTAGGTCAGATAATATGAAGTATTAATGAGCCTTTCAAGTGATTTTGATAGAAGCTAGATTTGGGAGCTACCGTAAGATGGCGGTAGCATAGGGGACACAGCTGATAGCTGCACATTCAGGTGCATACAAATCACCCTGGGGCTAATTGCAGTTGCAAATCCTGATTCAGAAGGCCTGGGATAGGGCCGGAGATTCTGCATGTCTAACAGTCTTCCAAATGATGCTAATGCTGGCTGAAGCGAGGGCTCACAGGCATCGCTGTTCATCTCTCCTAGGCTCAGTCCTGCTATTCTAACCCCACAGAGATTTCTACATGGGACACTACCGTAGGCTATGAAGTGACTGGTATCAAAGGCAGAACATGCAACAGCTGCAGAGCCTGTTCCTCCCAGGAAGATCATGAAGAGGAAGATCATACACATTGCCGACTGTGGAAGGGAGACTTGAACTGGGCTTTCGTCTGCCTTGCTGTTGCTTTGTCTTACCCTCCAAGATCATTTCTGTCTTTCATATTTCAAGTCACATTATTAATATACACACTTCAGGGACATTTCCAATTTCAACATTCCCTCTACCACTTCGTTAAAACTTACCACTCAAACTAGCCTTCCACCTTTGCCCATAGAAAGTCAAAAAGCTCATTGAGCATTCTCAGAGCTGATGAGATTGAACTGAAGTGGGAGTCAGTGAAGGTGGTAACTTCCAAAGCAAATAAAACACAAACAAAAAAGCAAAATAGCTTTATAATAATGCTATGTTGAATGTGAGTATCCGATACACTGACTGGCCAATTTCTTCTTCCAATGCCTTTCTGCCTCTCAGACATTATCATGATGGTCACTGTTTATAAATAACAACCCAGAAGCCACCACTTTTGGGTGATCCAATTACATTTCAACCACATGGTTAGCTGTTATTCCATCTCAATGCAATCCTGACTATAACATTCTAAGAATCAAATTCACATTTCTAAGGCCTACATCATTAGGCACATCAAAAACCATATTCTGTTCTCCCTACCTCCTACTGGCTGTTCTTCTGGCAAAAGAGCAGCCATCTGGCTCAAGGTTATATTGGCAAGAGTCGATCAAAAAGTTCTACTTAAATCGCTGTAGGAAATCTCTTTTCTAACACATTGCTTTGTTAGATGTTGTAGGGAAATAGAAATACCACATTGTTGGTGCAACTGCTTAACCTGGATATCAGCATAAATTTTGTATTGGTTTCACATCACTGCAACTTTAATTTTTAATTTAAATGCACAGAACATTTCAAAAACTCATCACATAAAAATGAAATTCAAAAACCACTTGTACATAAAATAGTCATGAAATAAGTGTACCAAATGAACTTACTTTGCTTTGCAAATATTCTTGGTATTCTACGTTATATTTCTTTAAAAGGTCGTTTTTCAATTCATCTGTCCTTGGGAATGCAATTTCCTTCAGTTTCTTTTAAAAATATATATACATATTGATTAGTGGGATTTTCAATACACTCTTTCAGATCCTCAGGTGAGAAAGAAAAACAGCTGGTAGGTATGTTGCAAATAAAGTCATGAGTAACCAAAGATGATGGCAGAAAAGTAACTCTTTTTTATGGGTCCAAAATATAACTTTCCAGCAGAAAAGAAACACTATTATCCCTTTTGTAAGAACTTTATTGGCCCCACTGATTAGATAAGCATTTCGTTATAGCCCAATGCTATAAAAAGTAAATAGCTAGAACTTCATGGCTACCTTTGTGGTACCCCATTTTTAGACAGTGAGTTTGAGATCAATCATTCGTTCTACAGTACATAAATCATGTGGCATCCGAATTAGAAGGGATGTGAGAGAATATATGGTGGATAGGGATTTCTACACATGCTAGACTGTAAAAAGAATAGCTGGGGCACTTTTTATAAAAATACAGATTCCCAAGCCTAATCCAGATCTACTGAATTAACACCTAGAGAAGCGGTCTGGGAATCTGGATCTCAAACAGCTTCCTCAGAGATTCTTAATGGCAAGAATATCTGGGAATTCTTATAAAGGCCAACTACCTCTTCCTTTTTAGAGGTGAGAGAGCAAAGGCCTGAAGAGATTGAAATTCCTGTTCGGTATCATGCAACCAGCCAGCAGCCCATTTAGGACTGGAACTCAAGTCTCCTGACTCTCTAGCTCTTTCACCAAATTTCGATTCTCTTAATCCTTTGTCATTCATTTATGTATTTATTCATATATCTATTCAATAAGCATAAACAAGAGAAATGTATATGGTTTTGCAGAATTTTTCTCCTACAAAAAAAAAAAATAAGCATAACCCTAAATTGAAAGTCACCTTGACAGCCTGGCACCTTTAGTTTCCAAACAGAACTCTCTGAGGTTGAATGAACAAGAGAATTGAGGGGGAGTGCTACACAAAGACATGATAATAAATGATACTTCAGGTAAGTGACTGTAGACATTTAAAAAGTTGACTGGGCGTGGTGGCTCATGCCTGTAATCCTAACACTTCAGGAGGCAGAGGCAGGCAGATCACCTGAGGTAAGGAGTTCGAGACCAGCCTAGCCAACATGGTGAAACTCCATCTCTATTAAAAATACAAAAATCAGGCTGGGCGCGGTGGCTCACGCCTGTAATCCCAGCACTTTGGGAGGCCGAGGCGGGCGGATCACTAGGTCAGAAGTTCGAGACTATCCTGGCTAACATGGTGAAACCCCGTCTGTACTAAAAATACAAAAAAATTAGCCAGGCATGGTGGCGTGCAACTGTAGTCCCAGCTGCTGGGGAGGCTGAGGCAGGAGAATGGCGTGAACCTGGGAGGTGGTGCTTGCAGTGAGCCGAGATCACACCACTGCACTCCAGCCTGGGTGACAGAGTGAGACTCTGTTTAAAAAAAAAAAAAAAAAATTAGCTGGGCATGGTGGCAGGTGCCTGTAATCCCAACCACTCAGTAGGCTGAGGCAGGAGAATTGCTTGAACCCGGGAGGCGGACGTTGCAGTGAGCTGAGATTGCGCCACTTCACTCCAGCCTAGGTGACAGAGCAAGACTCTGACTCAAAACAAACAAATAAATAAATAAATAATGTAGATGACCATCTGACAAAATCTGCATTTTGCTTATGCATCCTCAGGTCTGAAAAGACTCATAGGAAAGCCTTTATTTCATTATTTGGTAAAGTGTTTTTCAAAAGTTATTTAAAATTGCATGCTACAATTGGCTTTGTGTACATGATTTTATCTTCCTTCATATAAGACCAACACAAGCTATTAAAGACAAATAAATGGGAAATATTGTAAATGTTTATTTAAAAGAATATATTCACAGCTAGACATAACCAAAATTATAGATGTAGCAATTATTGGTGATAAACAAATCACTTAAAAAATGATGATAAATTGCAACACTCTTTTTCCTTGATAGTATTTTAGCCTTCCACCTCCTGCTTCCCCCACAATACTTTATAATCTATAGTTACAGTTCTATAAGATGTAAATAGCTAGAACTTTGTGGTTGCCTTAATAACTAACACTAATTTTCAAACAGTTATTGAGTTCAGGGCTGTATAAAATAATCAAAAGCAGCCAAAATGTCTGAAAAAAGTTTGGAGAAATACACAACATTCTCTTAATCTCCGGGAGAGATTATTGTAAAATAATTCCTTCTTCACACCATTAGGTAACGTTTTTCTTTCTTTCTTTTCCCCCAGCATCAATTAGACAAACCACACTGGCTCAATGATGATCATTAAACGTCTAAGAAAAAAATCGAAACATCATGGTTAATGGAATGAATTTCTCATGCTCAAACTCTCAAGAGAAAGAGAAAGCGGAGGAAGGGGAAGAATGAATCAATAATGGATACTTATAGAGCATTTGATTCCACAGTGGATAAGCAAACCCACAATACCTTCATAATATCCTGCTTTTCAGGTACTGCACATTGCTGGTAATCTCGATGGTTAGGAAGCTTTTCTACAAACAAGCTAAGAAAGAGAAAACATGTTCTTAGCATTATGTAACAGCAAAAGCTCAATCATGGTTTCTAATAAGGGAATGAGCATCTTTTTTCAAAAATCACATGTTTAATAACTTATTTACCTACAGTCTTTCTATCTGCCTTTTCACTAAAGTCTGGCATGAGTATTATTTTGGTATTAACAGTTAAACTCAACAAACTAAGCACCAGAGCTAACAAGGTTAAGGTCAGGGTACTCTCTAAACACATCAAGTCGTTTGATCTTTCTCAGGTACTGCATGCTTAACCCCAAAAGAGCACCATCTTACTTTTGTGTACTGCTGGCAACACAGAGAATCACATAAAAATATCAGAGCATGGAAAGAGTGATGTAAATTCCTTCTCACTCTTGAAAAAAACTCAAATGACCACTGATGAACCAGCAGCGCCATCGTGTGTGTATCAAAAAACTCTTAACTGAAAACTTGTAACTAAGAAAAGTGACAACCAGAATCCCTAGTGAATTAGGAGGTGCTAATTAGGAATTCATTATTTTTCATCACCATTTGAGGAACAAGAGACAGCCGCAGTGAAAGGAAATTCCTACAGGAAACCCAGTGCATCGCTTCCAGGTAAAGTGAAGAAACTGCTACCACAAGGGCAGGGAATTCTCTTTTTTATGCACCGATGTATCCTCAGCCTGAAGAATAGAATCCAGCTCATAATAAGTGCTCAATAAATATTTGCAAAATGAATGAATAACCCTTCCTTGAAAAATCATAACGAGCTGTAAATGCTGTTTCTGATCAAATAATATGCCTTATACTTACTGATTCTGTAAACCAAATAATACACACATATACTCATCATTTAATTTCTTCTGACGACAGGCTATAGGTTAGACAGAAATGTTAGAGTAATTCCCATTTTAAATGAGAAAATTAAGGCTTAAAGAAGCTTTAAAAGTTGTTAGCTATCTAAGCCTTTATAAATAGAATAAATTCAAAGACATTTAGAGCAGAGGGGACCTCAGAGATTTTCTCCCATAAATCTTTCATTCGTAGATGATGAACTAAGGCCCAGGAAGAATGAGTGAATTACAAATTATCACACAAGAGAATTCAAATATTTTGATTACACAATAATTCTGAGATATAGGGGCCTTTCAGAGCAGAAGGTGAAAAAGAAATATTATTAATTGGTAACTTATTCAGAAACAAAATTTATTGGAAAAGCTTGGCTATCAATGGTGGAGAATAACTTCCAATTTCATATTTATTACTTAACTTTCTAAAAACAAGTGGTTTTCCCAGGTAGGGTAAATACTGCCAACCATTCTCTAAATTTTCAAGTTCAGTAACTTGGATAAAATGCAGATCTCAATTTGTATACCATGTAAATCACCTTTAATTTTGCCCTTGGTAGAATCATGGAAGGCAATTTTTTTTTTTTTTTCCTGAGACGGAGTCTCGCTCTGTCACCCAGGCTGGAGTGCAGTGGCGCAATCTCGGCTCACTGCAAGCTCCGCCTCCCGGGTTCACGCCATTCTCCTGCCTCAGCCTCCCGAGTAGCTGGGACTACCGGCGCTCGCCACCTCACCCAGTTAATTTTTCGTATTTTTTAGTTTAGACGGGGTTTCACCATGTTAGCCAGGATGGTTTCGATCTCCTGACCTTGTGATCCGCCCATCTCGGCCTCCCAAAGTGCTAGGATTACAGGCTTGAGCCACCGCGCTGAGCCATGGAAGGCAATTTTTAAAATATTGTATCTTTCAACTTAAATGTTCTCAGGCTAAGCCCCTGACTAAGCTAGTGAAATTATATGTGAAATAAGCCAGGCACAGAAACACAAACACTGCATGATCTCACTTATAATGTAGAAGGAATCTAAAATAGTTGAATTTATAGCAGGGCAGACAGTAGTAAGGTGGCTATTAGAGTTCCAGTGGGTGAGGATAAGGGGTGAGATGTTGGTCAAAGGATACAAAACTTCAGTTAGACAGGAGGAATAAGTTCAGGAGGTCCAGTGTATATGATGATTATAGTTAATAACAATTTATTGCATAATTATGCAGCTTGGGTCTGGCACAGTAGCTCATGCCTATAATCCCAGGACTTTGGGAGGCCAAAGCAGGAGGATCACTTGTATCCAGGAGCTGGAGATCAGCCTGGGCAACATAGTAAGATCCCGTCTCTACAAAAATAAAAGATTAGACGAGCATGGTGACACATGCCTGTACTCCCAGCTACTTGGGAGGCTGAGGTGGGAGGATCACTTGAGCCTGGGAGGTCGAGGCTGCAGTGAGCTATGATTGTGCCGCTGCACTCAGCCTGTGCAACAGGGAGGCCCTGTCTCAGTAAAAGGTCTGTGGGGTAATAAATATGTTAATTGGCTTGACTTGGTCATTCTACAATATAAGCATATATGTATCAAAACATGTTGCACACTCACAATATATATATAATTTTTGTCAATTTAAATCAAATTAATAATAAGCTAGCAAAAGTAATCGACACGTGACTTTCAATTAAAATAAAAAAATAGAAGGTTCAGCTTAGAAGATATAATTATTGATAACAGGACATCCTTTCAACTAGTAAGTTACCAGATTTATAGTAAGGCAAGTCCAAGTCCCACTTCTGTTAACTCTTCAACTAGGATATGCCACTAGCAAATATCTGTCTAATAGGAAATTTGATAGTTTGATATGGCTGTTTTGATGTAGCCACTTTTACTCAACATTTTGACAGCTCTTTTGTACATAGTGCTCTTCATAGCCAAATAAAATGTTTTTAAAAAATAATAAATGCTATATGAAACTTGAATGAGTTTCCTGAACCTATCCCTGAACCTGAATCAGATCTTTCCTGTGTCTCCCAACTTGTCCCCCAGACTCAAACCACCAAATCAAACTTTTTTAATGTTGATGACATGTTCTAGGTGCTTTAAGTGGAGCTACACTGTAGTTCCTGCTCTCATAAAGCTTCAGTTTCTGTTGGGGAAAATCGCATGAAAAAATAAATTACATTTATGAAGAGTGAAGCATGTATTAAATAGATTATTGTGCTGGCCTTGGAGCCTCCTGCCTTCCCTGACCCTAAGCATCAGAGATGGTGTTGGGATGCCTGTGAGTACATTAGTTGGTAATTTAAAAACCTGAACATTTAAAGCTCCTAGAGACTGTGCAATTGGTCTGAACATGAAAACATTACTGATACCCAAACTGCCACATCAAAATAACTATGTAAATATTTTTCCAATTTTCTCACTTCAGAGGCCTTTAAAAAACTTACGTTATAAATTTATTATAAAGAACAAAGGCATTTTCCAAATTTCCTTCTTCCAAATACACAGACGCCATCCTCTCCATCTCTACTCCAGACCTAAAGTAACGTCGTGGAGTGATGTCTTCACTGATGGTGATATTACAACCAAGTTTGCTTAGGGCACGGACTCGCTCTTCTGGGCTTAGGGAAACATCTGTATGGTCAGGCATAGCAGCTAACTTTTTCTGTAAAGCAAAATTTAAATCTCTGATTAATTGCTGATTATAGTAAGAAAAGGATATGACTAATATTACGGATGTATTTTCTTTATGAGGAACCTAACACTATCATCTAAGGAAATCTTTTCATAAGTTAATGATGTGATCAAAGTAAAGCATTTTTGCGTAAACATGGTTTATACAACAAAAAGACAAACCTCCGGGGTAAACATACAGTTTTATTGCAGTGGGATCTCACTTTAGGTTTCAGGGTACAATTATCTGGAAGTTCCAGGGTATGCAAATGTTTCAGGTCATGTTAGGTAAAATATCATTGCCCCTCATATCCCTGTGCATGCTTCTATCTGGGATCATGTGAAGCAGGTCATAAGATGAATTCCTGCCATTGTAGGGTTCATGTCAGTCTACTCTGAAGGGTCTCCAAGGAGGTAACTTGGATTCAAGTTACTGTAAAGATTTAGTTCTATTCCAGAATAAGTGTTGTTTAGTAAGAAGTTTTCAGGGCCTCTCTGCATCTTCGTTGAGTTAAAAAAAAAAAAAAAAAAAAAAAAAAACCAAACCCAAAAAACACAAATAAGTCCTGGAGAAGCCTTTTCAAGCATAAGGATGCCCCTCCCATTTTTTTTAAACATAAAAAGAGTCTCAGACTTCCGTATAATAGTAATTACACTGTTAAGTTAGTCCTTAACCAAGAAAATAATGATGTGTTACTAAGAAATGTCAGTGATAGTAATTTGGATTTTATTAATAAAAACAGCATCTATACACTTTTGGTAAAGCACAGAACATACACAATTCAGAATGATTATTCAATAAAAAGTCAGTGCTTCAGAAAGGAAATTTTCTCTGTTAAGTGCCAGATAGCAAGTGTCTTAGGCTCTGCTAGCCATATGGTTTCCATTGCAACTTGAATTCAGCTCTCAGCATGAAAGTCACCATAAACAATATGGAAAAAAATGACCCTGGCTGTGTCCCCCCAATTTTTATTTATAAAAACAAGCAGGTGGTTTGGCCCTTAGACCATAGTTTTGCTTGACCCCCTGGCTTTTTTTTATAGTATTCAGCATGATTCTGATCAGCATATTTCAAAGCATGGTCCATGTAATAGCAGCATCAGCATCAACTGGGAGTTTCTTACAAATGCAAATTCCTAACAGGTCTCACCTCAGACCTATAGTCAGGATCTCAGGACCTCTGGAGGTAGGCTCGAGAACCAATGTTTTAATCCGTCTTTCCAGAGGTACTTATGCATGCACAGTTTGAGAAGCAAGGCTTTAGACCAACCACTTCTACCATTGCTGGATGCTCCCAGAACAGAGTGAGCCTAGAGCAAATTTAGCCTCTCAAGGCCTCCTTGGTCAGTTAAGGGTAGGTTGCAAGTCTGACTACTGTGGGGGTGGAGCACTTAATTCAGGTCTGCCGAAAGCTATGAAAGAAGTCAAGGTAAGCATACTTTTAGTCTGGCCGTGAATTACTGAGCCAACCTTCAGGGGCAGGGCATAGTGAATTAGATATCTGGAGTTCTTCCAATGCCATCTGGCCTACTTTGGTGGTAAATGTATAGCCAATAGAACCCTAGAGATCTGAAATGATTCTTGGTCCTAAAGGTTTAACATGTAACCAGAGACCCACGAACTTGTTTCTCAAGGCTTCATTAAGTAAGAACCATACCATTTCCCTTGTACGTTTTATTATATGGCTTCACCACATCAAAGACAGAAATTGGAGTTCTGAACTTTGAGCCTCAGGCTTCAGTATATGGTCTTTTCCAGTTGAGATGTCTCAAATCCTACAGCAATCCATCCGCTTTTCCCTAACCACACTCACCTATAGAACTCAACAGCACTAAAAGAAAATATTGTCATTTGACCACAGATAATTGCTTCAATGATATCAGAAAATGACTAGAGAAAAAAATCTATGAAAATCAGAATGTCTTCTAAAGGGGGTTCCAGCCTCTCATATGTATAAAAGTAATGTGTTCATATTTTACTACTATATAGTCCACACTGAGTTACAATTATTTCTGTACAAATGTGTCTGATCCCTTATGAACTCCTTGGGGTTTTAAAAGGGATCACTTTCCATTTATCTCTGTTCCCTGTAGCATCTTCCCTGCCACATATGTGATAATAAGTATATCAAATAAAAGAGACAAAGAAGTGAGAGAAGGAAGCAACAAGAGATTATAATTAGTTTTTTCCCTGAAAATGAAAATTAGATTATTTTTCCTCTTCTAAATGGTCCTATCCTTCCCAAATTTAAAACTGATTTCAAAGATAAGCTAGAAAATAACCTAAAGTCTTCATCAATCTATAGTTTTTTTTTGTTTGTTTGTTTGTTTTTGAGACAGAGTCTCACTCTGTCGCCCAGGCTGGAAGTGCAGTGGCACGATCTCGGCTCCTGCAACCTCCACCTCCCGGGTTCACGCCATTCTCCTGCCTCAGCCTCCCAAGGAGCTGGGACTACAGGCGCCCGCCACTGCACCCGGCTAATTTTTTGTATTTTTAGTAGAGACAGGGTTTCACGGTGTTAGCCAGGATGGTCTCAATCTCCTGACCTCGTGATCTGCCCGCCGTGGCCTCCCAAAGTGCTGGGATTACAGGCGTGAGCCACCGCGCCCGGCCAATCTATAATATTTCATTTGCATGCAAGTTTCTTGGATGAAAACACAAATTTTCCAGATACATAGCCTTTGTGTTCATTTTTACAGTGACATATACAATAAAAATTTTAATTATTGTTATATAATGTTCTAGAAAAACACAGAAGACATCTCATAAAGATGACTCCTTCCTCTGAAGAGGTGGAAATGGGTCAGTATTTATTAACCATAGTGGAACAACAACATGGGGACAGAAAATGAAAACATTTCTGCAACTGTCTACTTTCCAAACATACTCTGAAGACAACTAAGCTCTGTGAAGGACTTTCTTGGTCAAGAAAAAACATTAGGTCACAACCTATTTCAGTACAAGAACCAGGCTCTCTCCTTCTTTATGTCCTGGTGCTAGTCTCTGTGCATACAGGGTATTTAGTATACTGCACACTGGTACAAGGTCGCTGTGAGTGGTTGGGAAGGGTCTTCGGGAGGAGGAAAATGGGAATGACAGTTTCCATTTATCGTACCATCTTGGTAGGCTAGGAGCATCAAAAAATATTGTTTCCAATTGTCATTGGGCAAAAAGTACAAAATTAGGGCCATGGAGATTACATAATGTGTCTATATTCACAGTCAGAGACTGATCTAGGACACAGAATAAGCCCATGTGATGTAGCTAGAGAAAGTGTGCACAGTGCTGGGCAGTGAGGGGAAAAGTGAGAAGAACAAGAGCGTCAAGTACAAAGACATTTACACAAGGATCCAAAGCAATACCTAGGTGTTATGTATGTTTTTCTCAGCTAACACCACACAAGGTGAGCCTCCAATTTTTATCTATATAAAGAAGCTGAGACACAAAGAGCTTTAAGTAGCTCCTCAGATATCAACTCTGAAATTCTTCTCCCTGGTGTTTTGCCAAAGGACTACACTCCTGGAATCTAGCTAGATAAACTAAAATTTTAGACTTTTGTGGAAAATAAAATGTATTTTTAAGTCTTACAAAGATAGCTTTATTAGTCACTTCCTCAAAGGAGACAACCACACAGATGGATGAGAAACTACAAGTGCTAAACTTCTTAAAGTAATTGTGACTCATTTCACATTTGTATGTTTCTGTTCTTCTTTTTGGGCTTTCCAACCAAATGTTAGATATCAGCTGGTGCAACCTACCAGAGAATTCACAGTAAAAGGCTGATCCATGCTGTCTTATCTGTGAAATGAGGATGTTCACTGTTTCTTCTCAATCACTTCATCTGTTTCAAAAACAAGAAGCAGAACTAAAGTTATTTTTTGAGACTCAAGTTTGAAATCCCAAATCCCAGGGTTATCTCTGCCTCAGACAAACAGGAACAAATGGAAATAACTTATATAACCTTAAGTTATAAGTTCAGAGTGTTCAGAGAGACTGTTGGAAATCTCTTTCTGAAAATATAAAACTGCAAGTGGTTATGGTTTCTCGAAGCTGACCTTTGAAAGTGAAGGTGTGAAAATAATTAACATTTGACTGGCACCCAGTATGAATCTTCTGGGGGATACCTTACTTAGAACTCTATGCAAGGTTATAAAGTAGGTTCGCTTTCTTCAAAGGAATAAAGAGGATCATATTGATTATGAGCATGGACTGTTAAACCTAGAGCCGGTCTGGATTTAAACTCAACCTTAGAACTATGACAGGCAAAATTCTAAGATAGCTCTGTGATTCCTGCGTCTTGATATCTGTCGGTTTGTGTAATCCTCTCTGCTTGAGTATGGTTAAGACCCGTGATTGGCTTCTAACCAATAGAAGATAGCAAAGGTCGTGTAATATTATTCCCATGATTATGTTGAATCATATGGCAAAGATGAAGAGATACTGTAGATATATGAATCCCCCCTAATAATGTTAAGTTAATTAAAAGAAAAATTATCCTGAGTGGTCTGGATCTAATCAGGTAAGACCTCTAAAAGAAGCAGATTCTCTCCTGCTGGCCTTAAAGACTCAGCCACCACAAGTTCCAAAGCTGCAAGGAAATTAATTCTGCCAATGACCACACAAGCTTGGAACATGACTCCAAGCCTCTGATGAGACTCAAGCCCATGTCAACAAGTCAATTGCTGCCTTGTGAGACCATGAGCAGGGGACCTAGATAAGCTGTGCCTAGATTCTTGACCCAAAAAGCAGCAAGATAATACATGTATATTTAAGCCATTAATTTCATAAAAATATGTAAAGCAGCAATAGAAAACAAATACGCTTAGCTGTGTGACTGCAGGGAAGTTATATAGACTTTCTGCGCATCTACAAAATGGGAGAAACAGTGGTTCCTACATCACATGGTTGTGCTAGGATCAAATGAGTTAGCACATAAAGTCCTTAGAGTATCAATAGCTCCTAGCATATAGTCAATATTTTATCAATGTTAGCTATTATTAGAATCTTTATTTTATAGTTGAGACAACTGAGGCTCAGAGAAGTCAAGTGAATGTACCCAAGTTCAAATATTAATTCAATAAATGTTAGTAATTCCCATCCTTTTTATGCTCGTTTAGGTCAAGCTCTGCATCACCACTTTCCACTTCTAAATTTATTTTGTCCTTTATACCCCACGTATCACTTAGATGACTTTGAACATGGATCTTCTCCTGACTTCCTCATTAAGGAAACAAGGGGTTAAGATGGATTATTTTCAGTTATAATATTCAGTGATTCTAGAAATCTCAGAAGTAAATCAATCAACACCTCCAGTGCTGTTTTCTGGCCTAAATCCGTGGTGGAGGAACCCTTCAAGAAAAATTACTCTTGTATTCCAGTCTTTCTCCTCCATTGTCTCCAGTAATCCCCTGGGGTAAACACTGAGCTCTAAGCCTGCAGGCTACAAAAATGCCCAAGAAAGAAAAAACATGGTTCATCACAGTGCAGTTTAGAAGTCGAGTTAACAATTTTGGCACCACTGAATGTAGGCAATACCAACTGAGGAATTAAAACTTCTCAGTGAGAAGAAGTAAACCAGGAAAAGACGTTAAAAGAGTTAAAAAGACAGAGCAAAGGTTTATGGGGAATGTGAAGCCGGGGAGGGAGGGGAACAAGGAAACACTAGTAAGTCATTTATTAGGGCCTTATAAAAGAGTAGAATTGGCCAGACACAGTGATTCACACCTGTAATCCCAGCACTTTGGGAGGTCGAGGCAGGCGGTTCACCTGAGGTCAGGAGTTCAAGACCAGCCTGGGCAACATGGTGTAACCCCGTCTGTACTGAAAATACAAAAATTAGCCAGGCGTGGTAGTGCACACCTGTAATCCCAGCTACTAGGGAGGCCGAGGCAGGAGAATTGCTTGAATCCATGGGGCGGAGGATGCAGTGAGCCGAGATCGCGCCACTGCACTCCAGCCTGGGTGACAGAGCAAGACTCCAGCTCAAAAATAAAATAAAATAAAAGATAAATAAAAAAGAGTAGAATTATTTCTTTTAATGATTGCTCAGATTCATAAAGAGAGAGCATAGACTTTAAAAAGTTGAAAATACTAGGATAGGGGTTTTTAAACTTCACTGCATCTAAAATCACATAACCCTGAGATCTGTTTAAAATGCAGTTTCCTAAGACCCACTCTAAGGATTCTGAATCCATCGGTTTTAAGCCCACAAGTAGGTATTGTCAGATATGGCCCAGTGATTCCAACACATGAGGTTTCCAAACAATACTTTGACAGACACTACATTAAGCAGGATTCTTCGTTGCAGGCAAAGGTCTGACTCTTGAATTCACAGAAGGATAATGAAGAAACACAAACTTCTAGGAGGGCCAGAGAAATCAGGTTTGGAAGCTACAGATCCAAGAACACTGTCCCAGACTACACAGCAGCACTGGTCTGGTGAAAACACCTCCGCTATCTCTATCACTTGATGAACAGGGGATTCTGCAGCTTCTACCACCAACACCAGCAACTCCAGCAACTAGCTGCTGCCCTGGGAATAACGTGCAGCTGCCATGTACTTCTCTATGTCTCTAGTTTCTATTTCAAAGCATGAGATGCAGGTGTCTGACTGGCAGAGTCTGGGTCCCATGCCTGCAGCCTGGCTGAAAAGATGGCCGAAGATGTAAATATCTAGCACTTTATCCTCTTGTAGGAGGCAGTGGGATATGCCAAGAGAGGAGAGGTGGATTCAGGGCTGGGTGACCAAAAAACAATGGTAACTGTGAGCAGAAACAATGAAATAAACATCTCCGTAATGAGCTTCCATATGTATGAAATGTTTAAACATATTTTAAACATCAGAGTTTATTAAACTACTATAGATAAAAACTATTCACTCCCACATATGAATATATTCAAAATTCAGAAATAGAAGCCAACTCCCCTCAAATCTAAGATGAAAGAAGTTCACAGACTGGTCAGTAACTATTTTTTAAGCCATTTATTACCTGATGGTCTTGCCTTAATTCCTTTATTTTTTGCCCCCAGTTCCGGCACTTATAGTTGCATTGTAAAGAATTGCCAATATCAACAAACACAGGTATGTTTTCTAGTTCAGTGGCTCTCCAAATATGGTCAAGGTTTCCCACAATCCTGTCAGGGAGTCTGTGAAGTCAATATTACTTTCATAATATTACTAAAACATTATTTGGCTTTTTAAATATCAATCTTTCACAGTTGTATAGTGGAGATTTCCAGAGGGTACAAGAGTTAATGGAATGCTTACTTGCATACTCTTATAAATGTCTGTTTTGATTTTTAATACAGTAAATATAAATAGATATAACTCACATAAACAAAGTCTTTTAGTGTCCTTAGTACTTAAGACTGTAAAGGGGTTCCAAGACCAATAAAGTTTGAAAACCATGGCTCTAGATCAACAATGCAAAGAAATAAAATAAAAACTCACCATGCTACCTCAATCTAATCAGAAATAAAGTGGGCCAGGAGAATCTAAAACAGGGAACATTAATGGCAAGTACCACTTTCCATTTGTGCTACTGTGGTCTTACTAAAACAATTAGAAAATTTGAACTGAGGGTACAGTAAGAGGTACTTCACCTCATAGTACTTGAGATCCACAGATGCTAATTAATGGGAAGTATTCAGTATCATGCAAGAATAAAACAAATTCCCCCTCCAAAGTGGAGGTCCAAAGTGCTATAAAGCACATGGTGCAAACAGCCTTTGGAGTGAGATAAGCCTGGGTGTGAGTCTAGGCTCTATCATTTGCCTGCTAAATATCCTTTACTGAGCCCCCTCCAAGGTTTACTTTCCTCATTCGCCAGGGGGCTTGTCAAAGCCATGCTTTCAGCGTGGCTTAGAACTAATGGAAAACATTAATCAGAAATGCCTGTTTTAATCTCAGCCTACTCCCTAACCTCTACCTCACATTCTTATGGTTTGATAACATCTGAAGATCTGAACTGCAGCCTTGTGATCTATTTAACCTGTAAGATACCTCTTGAAAGTTCTTGCTTCAGAGCTCTTGCCTTCTTGCTTTTATTGCTAGCTCCTTTTCCTGACCATAACCTCCAAAGACATCATCATTTTTTTTTCTTTAATCTGTCCTTTTATAGAGGAATAGGGGAGTATCTGATTTCTGTTAATCCTGACTCACAAGAATGAGGGGAATCACGATGTCAGAATCCTACATATTCACAGTGAGCACATGGAGGCCAACTCCTGTCCCAGAGATTCAGCTAACAAGTAGCTCCCAGAACCAACTGAGCAGTCGACTGTGCCCAGAGGGGATGTGGCAAAACTGCATTCTCATCCATGAATGGCCTGGGAGGGGGCAGGTATCCTCTCCAAATTGATATTTTACAGCTCTGAGCTTGTAACAGTTTACTCTCTATATAACCATAGCAAAATCCTCTTGGCTTCTGTGTCCCTGCAATCTCTCCAAGTCTGAAGTCCCCCACGGAAACATGGAAGAGTCTCAACAATTCTGCCCTTTAAAACTAGCAGCAAACAATGCAAGAATGAACAGAGGAAAATATCTGACCCAGCATGGTGCTTATTTTGTGATTTTTTTCAGCCTTAATTTCTTTAACTCCTTCTTTCTTTCTCTTTCTTTCTTTTCTTTCTTTCTGTCTCTCTCTCTCTCTCTTTCTTTCTCTTAAAATAGTGTGTGTGCGTGTGTGTGTGTGGCAAAGTTCAGAATCCTGACCCATTTTCATCCACAGAGAAATATTTTCCAGAATTCAGAAAGGAGGTGACTACTAGGCAGCGAACAGTCTCCTAAGAGACTCAGCATACAGTAAAAAGCCAGCGAGACCATCACCCAAATGTGCCATT